AAGACATTAACTTTAAGACAGTTGGGAGCTTCCTGGAGGAACGTCACACAAATCCCACCCAGGAGTGGGGGAAGGAGGTTGCTGGGTGTCAGCCTGTGTCTTGTCCTCAGCTAGCCTTTTGCTCCCTCATCCTGCCTGATTCCCTCCTGCTGTTAGCAAAGTATTGATATTAAGGCAGCTGAGTTCCTAGAGGAATGTCACTTGGCCTGTTTCAAGGACCTGTCAGTGGGCCACAGAAAGTAAGGAAATTTAATAGTTTTTCTTCTGCCTTTGTTTCCCACATCACTAAACTACTTACAGCCCATTGACAAATCCCTGAGTCAGGCAGAGTCTGACCTTCCTCAAGGAATACACAACCGCCTTAAGGTATTTATCAATGGGCTGCAAGTTGTTTTTTTTTTAAGATTTTATTTATTTATTTGACAGAGAGATCACAAGTAGGCAGAGAGGCAGACAGAGAGAGAAGGGGAAGCAGGCTCCCTGCTGAGCAGAGAGCCCGAGGCGATGCTTGATCCCAGGACCCTGGGATCCTGACCTGAGCGGAAGGCAGAGGCTTTAACCCACTGAGCTACCGAGGCTCCCCTGGGCTAATTTTATCTAAATATCTTTAGCATTTGTTCTCATCTTGGAAGCAGCCAGTCACAAAAAAACACATGCTGTGTGATTCCATTAGCGTGTCTGTAAGAGGTGACTCTGTGGAACCCCCCCACCCCTTTATGCATGGCAGCCCTTTCCCCATTTGCCCCTCCCTCCCCCAAGCCCCAGGCAAGCTCTAATTTAATTTCTGTCTCTACATTTATCTGTTCTTCTGTTGATGGACATTTAGGTTGTTTCCATCTGTGGCTATTGGAAATAATGCTACTATGACCATTTGTGTACAAAATTTTGTTCCAACACATGTTTTCAGTTCTCTGGGGTGTATACCCAGAAGTGGAATTGCTGGGTCATGTGGATATCCTGACTTTTTGAAGAACTGCCAAAGTATTTTTCACAGCCCCTGTACCATTTTATGTTCCCACCAGCAAGCTTGAGTACTTTCCTCTCCCTTTACTCTCAGGGACATTTAAAGGAGTCTTTAATTTTTTAAATTTTTAATTTTTAAAGGAGTCTTCTTTAATTTTTAAATTATTTAATAATTAATTAATTTGTGAGAGAGAGTCAAGTTTGAGTCCAAGCTGGGGGGGGGGGGGGTAGGGGCAGAGAAAGAAGCAGACTCCCTGCAGAGCAGGAAGCCTGATGGGGGGCTTGGTCCCAGGATCCCAGGATCATGACCTGAGCCCAAGGCAGAGGCTTACCCCACGGAGCCACCCAGGTGCCCCTAAGGAGTTGGCACAGTCATGTCAGTTGTTCAGGCTGTAATCGTCTAGCCTGTGGCTAATCTATTGGGAGGATTGGAAGTTAGTACCCTGGCCATGGTGGTAATATTGATGAAGTTCTAAGAACACAGGTGGGGTTCGGTGGGGTGAGGTCCGGAGCTGATAACCAAGAAAGAATTCTTGAGACATCTTTGGTACAAAATGGTGGTTTATTAAAGCATGGGGACGGGACCGTAAGCAGAAAGAGCTGCTGCCCCGGGGATGTGAGGAGTGGTCTATTATATACTTGTAAGTTAGGGAGGGGATTAGGGATGATGTAAGTCTCTAAGGAATTTTGGAAGCAAGGTTTCTAGGACCTTGAGGGGCTAGCTATTGTCTGGGGAAAAGGTTATTCTTTACCAGTAATAAAAGCTTTTTGTGAGACCCTTTAGATGTTTATCAGTGGGCCATATGCTTGGGAATAATTGTCGACACTATCTTGGAGGTTTAGAGATAAAGTTTCCAAAAGGAATTGTTAAAGTAGACTTACAGGATCCTGGTTGGGGATAGGGGTTCAGTCAGGCTAGGATTGCCCTTTGCCCTTAGCAAAGGCTTAAGGTGGGGGTAGTTGAGTCCCTAGAGGAGAGTCACTCTGCCTGTTTTAAGGGCTTGTCAGTAGGTAAGGAAATTTAATAATTTTTCTTCTGCTTCTGTTTCCCTCATCAACATGACCCAGAAATTGGTGTCCTTTCTTTATTCCTGTTCTTTTTTTTTTTTTTAAGATTTTATTTATTTATTTGACAGAGAGAGATCACAAGTAGGCAGAGAGGGAGACTGAGAGAGAGGAAGGGAAGCAGGCTCCCTGCCTAGCAGAGAGCCGGATGTGGGGCTCGATCCCAGGACTCTGGGATCATGACCTGAGCCAAATGCAGAGGCTTTAAACCACTGAGCCACCCAGGTGCCCCTATTCCTGTTCTTTTATAAAGTTGTCTTGGGCCCGGGAGAGCCACCTAAATCACCAGGACAGCTGCTAATCCTAAGATTCCTGCGTGAGTTTCCTCCTCATTGGTCTAATGTGATCCTCTCCACATCCCTGGTGTCACCTCTTCCGGCCTTGAGAACGCCACTGTGAGTCGGCTGAAACCAGTACCTGATTGAATTGAAACCCAACTAGGCACCCTTTCCAAGGAAGTTGGCTGTGAAGGCTGCATGTATTGGAATGTCGCTTAGGCCATGATGGAATTCTATCTTTACTGTTTTCTGTCAATGTCCTCTAACTACTTAAGCTACAAAACTGGGTACTTTCCTCTTGAAAAACTTTTTTTTTTTAAGTTGAAAACCTTTTCTAGTGTTTTCCATGGGTTAAAAACAGCGGGTTCTCTGTGTCCTTCACGGTGGGGCCTTCAGCAAGACTAGCCAAGCTGCAGTGCAGCCTTTACAGTAAAGCAAACTTGGTCCATACATCAGCACCCATCATAGTCTAGAATGCAATGGTTAGGGGTGCCTGGGTGACTCAGTTGTTAAGTGTCTGCCTTCGGCTCAGGTCATTATCCCGAGGTCCTGGGACCGAGCCCCACATCGGGCTCCCTGCTCGGCGGGAAGCCTGCTTCTTCCTCTCCCACTCCCCCTGATGTATTCCCTCTCTCACTGTGTCTCTCTGTGTCAAATAAATAAAAATAAAATCTTAGAATGCAATGGCGAAGCTGGGGAGCGGGGTGGGGGGCGGGCGGGGGTAGAGGTGGGCAGGCCTTCATCCTACAGACGTTTATGGCAGGTGGTGATCCCAGCAGTTTCATTTGAGGGATCCCTTGGGTCACTTTGGCACTAGGAATCTCTTGACAGTTTCATTTGAGGGATACCTTGGGTCACTTTGGCACTAGGAATCTCTGACAGAGGTGGGACTCCACCCAGGAGTTGGGAGTTGGAGGTCAAGGGTTGGGGGATGGGAGTTGGGTCGGAGTGGTGCATGTTGGGGGGTGATTTTCTTGGTAATGGACCTTTCTCATCAGTCCCCAAGCACACTCCACTAGGATGCCTATTTAACCCACTGGAAACAATTCAGGTTCCAAAACTTAAGAAGGGTACTACATGGCCTCAGTAGGATCTAGCAGTTAGATCTCTTCTGCAGGAAACAGGGCAAATAGATGGAGGTAGCCTAGGTCCTTCCAGACCTTTGGGGTTCTAAATCATCTAAATCTAAATACGTCTTGCAGAATGTGTTTGGTCATAACCAGACTAGTAAACTCCTTCCTGATATACTGGATGATAATGATCTAAACAGGCCTCTTCTGAATAAACCCAGATCGGAGGAAACACAGGCCATCCCTGACAAAGGGGATGCTGCCTCTCATTGTTCTCCTGGTAGATGTAGGGCTTCTCCCTCATTCATTTCCCGGGTTAATGACTATAATTGGAACCAACTGTCTGTTAGTTTACCCCAGGATGTGGGCTTTAAGGAATATTCCCGGGGCACCTGGGTGGCTCATTCAGTTAAGCGTCTGCCTTTGGCTCAGGTCATGATCCCAGGGTCCTGGGACTGAGCCCCATGTCAGGCTCTCTGCCTATCAGGGAGCCTGCTGCTCCCCCTGTTTGTGCTCTCCCTCTCTCTAATTAATAAATTAAAAAAAATTTTTTTAAAGGAATATTCTCAAGCAGCTGTCAAACTCCCTTTGTTTTGGAATAATTCTGTGTTCCCCAGCCAGATGTGGACTGCCTATTCCTTCTTATTGGCAGGAAAATATGGCATCTGCTCCTCTGTTGAGCTGATCGCCTCTAGAACTGGGAACCCTTTCTCTGCCTCTGGCCATACTTTGCCTCTTCAGTCTCCCCTTTCCCTTTGTGTTTCTGCATCGCCTTGGGTGCAGCCTGCATAAGTGGCTTCTAGACCGTCCTCAGTGCCTTTGGCTCCTCCTCCTCCCCTCCCTGTCCAGGAGCAGAGAGCATACTCTGGATTTAACACCACCCACTTCAATTTCTCCACCAGTGTCTCAGGTAAAAATTAACAATGGGGAGCAAACTCACGACCTTTAAAAGCGAATCCAGGTGGAACAGATTTCGGTATTTAAACTAATTTAAGTTTTTGGTTTAATTAAGGTAGCCCTGTCTTTTAGAGTTACCAGCATTAAATGTGAAACTTTCATTCTACCAAGAATTGAAGGTCAGATAAGCTTGTTATCTCTGTTGCAATTTTATTTTTATTTATTTGAGAGAGTCCGAGCTCAAGTAGGCAGAGTGGCAGGCAGAGGGAGAAGAAATGCAGGCTCCCGGGTGAGCAAAGAACCCGATGGGCTGCTGGAATGGGGGGGGAGGGGAGGGCTACTTATTACGTCCCACATCTGCAACTGATCAAGGATGGGGTCCACGTCACCATCCACTCTCTCCTCTCTAAAGCCCTCCGCTCTTCTTTGGGAATAAGCCCAAGGGGTGTAGAGGGAAAGCGGGAACTTTTCATCAGGACTACGCCAGAGAGTGGAGTCCCCCCAGGTCTCTGGGCCGGAAAGTGGGGCAGGACCCCAGCTCCAACCGAACCTCTACCCGACAATAGTAGGCGGGGCTCACAGAATGGACGCCCATGCGCAGTTTAGGAAGTCCGCAGCGCCTGCCCTCGCCATCGTCTCCCAACCTCTCAAATTTCCCGGGCGCTCCGCCCCCCAACCGTCCGCCCTGTAGTTGCCAAGGCGTCGCGCCGGAAGTGACCTCACGACGGTGGCGTGGAGACGTGGGGCGCTTCCGGCCGCCGCTGTGGGGGTGGGTTGTGGAGAAGCCCCTCAGCCTCCGGGTCTTCTCCTGTTGCGGGGTGGATTTGGCGAGGTGTGCGGAGGAGGCGGCGGCCAGACGGCGTGGAGGTGGGAGCGAGGCGGCGGCTGGGCTGTGGGTACTTGTGGGAGGGGGCTTCCGGGGTTGCTAGGTGGGTTTGTTTTTAGGCTTCGGGGTTCCAGGCCTTGTAGACTTTTATCAAGGCAGGCGCGAGCTGGGGACCAGGTCCTAGGGGTTGCGTCAGGGGGTATGGTTTGAGGTGGGAGACTGAGGGCAGCAGGGTTCTAAATGAGCCGGGAATCGTGTGAATTGTGAGGCATGAGCGGCCTAGGCTCTTGGTTTCGCCTCGTTGATGGCCGCTGCAGCTCGCCCACTGTTTGCTCCCTGCCTCAGTGTCCTTTTGCACAATGGAGTAGGGTGGCATGGAACAGCTCGGGTGCCCCAGCCGTGACCGATAGCCTGAGGACGGAGGTGAACTGGGGTCTGAAAGTGAAGGTAGTTGAGAAATTAATGATACCTGCCAGGGCGCAGCTTCCTGATTCTTTTCAGCTGTAGGTTTAAGTCTGAGCTTCTTCAAGCGTTCTTTGTGTGCTGTTGATTGAATTTATCAGTAGTTGGCTTGTTGAGTGGTTCAAGTGTTTTGGTGTGCAAGGCGTAGTCCTCGCCTGCTTGGCCAGTTTTCAGTGACTCTCCCAATTCCAGAGCTAGGAGGAGTCCTTGACAACTCTCGTGTGGTTACTGATGAGAAATCAGAATGGTTTTTGTTCTCTTCCCTAGCCAGTCTAAACTAATTTCAGTCTGCTGTCAAATAGAGGTCTTTCTACCCCATCAGAACATAAATGACTGTCTCTAAGCAGGTTAGTATTTCAGCTGGAAACCTCAGATGGATTCTAGGCTTTTTTTTTTTTTTTTTAAATGAATGGCAGATTAGGTGTACCGAGTTCAAAATTCCTGTTGGTTTCTCTGTATGAAATGAAGATGGTTACAAACATAACTTTTTGATTACTAAGAATTTCTTTGGTGGAGCTTCCTTGTGGGAGTAGGGCTGTGGGACTAGCAAAGTGTGTTTCAAACTTTTTTGATCTGGGACCCATGGTTAGATACATTTACATTATGACTTAATGTGCTCCCAGCATATGCAGAGTACACACACACAGAACCCAAAAGTTTACCCTTTCTGCATATGATCCCCTTTGACACTTTCTGTTTAATTAAAAGAAAAAAAGTTGATTGCAACTCACTAAATTGACTATATGTCTGACCGCTAAAGACCCATAGTTTGAAAAACAATGGACTAGAAAATGTTTAAGACATTTGTAATTCCTGAGATACTGTAATTAACGCAAAGTGGGAAATGTGTATTTTTCCTGTCCTTTATAGGCAGAGGAGCAAGGGTACTAGAGTTATAAATTCCATCAGAACAACAGGGCAGGACATTCAAATTGGTATCTCAAAGGAATGTAGTGATAGTGTGTCAGAATTTTAGCAAGGCATTTGGTAAGTCTTTTATGAGGACCTGGTGGGTGAGATAGGGGAAGTTGGTAGAGTGGGGTAAAATTTAGATGGAATCCTGGTTTTGAGCATCAGTGTCTGGAGGGGTTTGATTTATGGATACAACTTAATATTGGGATTCTGGTGAGTTGAGGCTGCATCACTTTCTTTATATACAGTATGTATTTAAAGTTTATCTGGAAAGTGTGCTAATTAGATTTGTTGTCTTTATGAAGTGAAGAGAGAAAATATCATCTCGTTAATCTCAAGATTTGTCCAGTGCAGTTTAATGAAATGGAAGGGTCATATACGTGTGAAAAATTCCAGTTGGGTCCAAAAAATGCAGTTATACCAGTTAATGAAGGTAGAGATATGACTTAGGGGCTCGAGTAGTCTCAGTCATCTGAATCAGTCACATGGTTGGAGCTGATGTGCCCTACAGTAGTAGATAACATTAGGAGAATGTAGAATCTAGAAGAAGAAAGGAAGGTTGACCCCAGCACTGGTTGACTCCGTCCTGGAGTATTAGGTGTATGTCTGGGTACTCTACAAAAATAAATTAACTTGGGGGTAGAAGTTAAAAGGATTTGGAATTCGTCAAATTTTCAAAAATTTTTGTGTGTGTGTGTGTGTGAAGATACGATGGAGTTGATTTGGCATGAATGATTCTTTTTCCCTTGTTACTCGGGTCTTAAAACATTTTTTAGTGTTCAGAACATTAGAAAATCTATGTATCTCTCTCACACTAAGTTGGCATTTGAAATTTTTCATCATGAATTTAAGTAGTTTAGGATGTAATTTTTGATGTGTAAATATTGGCTTTTAAAAAATAAATACAAAGGGCGCCTTGGTGGCTCAGTTGGTTAAGCGTCTGCCTTTTTTTGCCTTCTTCCACTCAGGTCATGATCCCAGGGTCCTGGGATGGAGCCCCGTGTTGGGCTCCCTGCTTAGTGGGAAGCTTGCGTCTGCCTCTCCCTCTTCTCCTCCCCCTGCTTGTGCTTGTGCCCTCTTTATCTCTGTCAAGTAAAAAATAAAGTCTCTAGAAAAAAAAAATAAAAAATACAAAGTTATCTAAATACACAATTTGATATTTTTATTTTGCTTTATTTTTTAAAGTAGCTCCATACCCAGTGTGGGGCTTGAACTCACAACCCCCAAATCAAGAGCCACATGCTGTACTGACTGAGTCAGCCAGGAGCCCCTGGATGTTTTAAAAATGTACAAATAGCTTTTTTTAAAAAAGAATTTATTTATTTGACAGAGATCACAAGTAGGCAGAGAGGCAGGCAGAGAGGAAGAGAGGAGGAAGCAAGCTTCCTGTTGAGCAGAGAGCCTGATGCGGGGTTCGATCCCAGGACTCTGGGATCATGATCTGAGCCAAAGGCAGAGGCTTTAACCCACTGAACCACCCAGGCACCCCCAAATAACCTTTTCTATATTAAAAAACTCTTCTAAGATTATGTATAAATGGTGTATTTACTTGAGTTTTGGATATTAAACCAGTCTTGTGTTCCTGGAATGAACCCCACTTAGTCACGGTGTATATATTTTTTATATGTTGCAGAATTTAGTTTGCTAAAATTTTGTTAAGGATTTTTGTGTCTGTGCTCATGAGGGATGTTGAAGTTTTCTTACTATGTCTTTGGCTTTAGTATCAGAGTGATAGTACCTTCATAACGAGTGGTGAAATGTTTCTCTTTTGTTTCCTGAAAGAGTTTGTGTAGCATTTTTTTATTTTTCTATATGTTTGATAGAATTTACCAGTGGACTCTTCGGGGCCTGGGCTTTTTTTTTTTTTTTTTTTTAAGATTTTATTTATTTATTTGACAGAGCACAAGTAAGCAGAGTGGCAAGCAGAGCGAGAGAGAAAAGCAGGCTCTCTGCTGAGCAGGGTGCCCAATGCAGGGCTTCATCCCAGAACCCTGGAATCATGACCTGAGGTGAAGGCAGCCGCTTAACCAGCTGAGCCACCCATGTGCCTTTTTTTTTTTTTTTTTAAAGATTTTATTTATTTATTTGACAGACATGGAACACAAGTAGGGGGAGCAGCAGGCAGAGGGAGAGAGAGAAGCAGGCTCCTTGTGGAGCAGGGGGCCTGATGTGGGGCTCAATCCCAGGACCCTGGGATCACGATCTGAGCCGAAGGTCGATGCTCAACTGACTGAGCCATTCAGGAGCCCCATTTAAAAAAAAAAAAATTGAGAGAGAGAGAGAAAGTAGATGCATAGGGGAAGGGGCCAAGGGAGAGGGAGAGAGAATATCAAGCCGACTCTTCACTGAGTCGGCCCACTGGAAGGGCCCCATCCCTTCACTCTGAGATCATGACTTGAGCTGAAATCAAGAGCCAGAGGCTTAAATGACTGAGCTACCCAGGCGACCCACTTTTTTTTTTTTTTTTTTAAAGATTTTATTTATTTGACTGAGAACAAGCCGGGGGAGCAGCAGGCAGAGGCTCCCCACTGAGCAGGGAGCCCAATGCGGGGCTCGATCCCAGGCCCCTGGGATCATGACCTGAGCTGCCGACAGACTCTTAACTGACTGAGCCACCCAGGTACCCCCTGCTTCTTTTTTAAGTTCGTTTGTTATAACCTCTACACCCAACATGGGGCTCGAGCTCAGGACCTCAAGATCGAGAGTCATATGCTCTACCCACTGACCCAGCCAGGCACCCCACTAATTAAGTTTCTCTACTTGATACAGGTCCATCCAGATTTTCTATTCTTGAGTCATTTTTGGTAATTTATATTATTCTGGGGATTTGTCTGTTTCATAGTTTTCCTTTTTTTCTTCTTTTCTTTTCTTCTTTTTTTTACGATTCATGTATTTTAGAGAGTGTGAGAGTGCAGGAGTGGGTGAGGGAGAGAGAATCTCAAGTGGACTCCACGCTGAGCTCACAACCCCAGCCGAAAGGGAGTCCAGGAGTCCAAGGCTCAACTGACTGAGCCATTGAGGCACTCCAAGTGTGGCTGTGTTCTGATTCACCTTAATTGGTAGTGGGGCCTATTTGGCCCATGGGCTGTAGTTTTCAGACTTGTGTCTGAAAACATATTACTTTAGGAGTAATAAATTTATGGTTAAAAATCTTTTATTGATAATCCAATTGTGTGAGCTGTTTAGGGTTATAAGAGTATGGAAATGGATTCCCTTGCTTGCATATCTTCGTGTACCCCTAAAGATGTGTGTGTTTCAGTTGAAGATTGGAACTTCATTTCCAAGATGTAGAGAATTTGTTTTTGTAGTTGCATTTTTGTAGTTTTGTTTGGGTGAGAATGGAGGTGGCCTTCATACTATGATTTTCTAGGGCCTTAACTCAAGTCCCTTATCCAGTCGATATTTCCACTAAAAGGAGACATTTGAAATAAAATTTACTAATAATAGAATATATTCTATTATATATATGCTATAATATATATCATCTCTGTGTCTCAGAACACATCCTTAATGTGGAAAAAGTGGTAGTTTAGCATTTGAGCAAATAGTCCATAATACTCTAGGACTTCCTGTGTAATATGGCCAGAATAATGGGTATGTTTGTTCCCCACAAAGACAAATACAAAAATGTTTAACTCTTTATTCTTGATAGCCCCCCAAACTGGAA